TATATCTGACTCTTTTAGTTTTAGGACTTACAAACAACCGTTATGTGAACAAAACTATAATACTCTCTTTAGCAACTTTGTTGCGAGAGTATAATTACGTTATATGGAAAGTGGGCGTGGTTGTAATTCGATTTCGCCTATTTTCGCGTTGGAACAGAGGAATGTATAGTATTATATACCGAAATTGGTTGAATTTGTTTGATCATCACTGATTCCTCCTATATGTGCGCTTTGTCACGATCATCATCTAATTTTGTGACCAGATCCTATTCAGCCTTGTACTTTCCTCAGTTTGAAATTAAATGCCTTTGGTGCTTTATGTATTGATTTCCGCACTCTTAATCGGTAATGGGCGAGTTATAATCGAATTTAATCCATTTGCACACCGTCAATAGAATTTGTCCTCAGCGAATTTAGTTTTTGTATTTTCGTGTTTTAGAAAATCTTTTCATCCATTTCTTCAAATTGTTTGTAAATTACACTATTTTATCTCAATTTGGTGCTTTTTTGGGCGTGGTAGTGATCCGATTACGCCCATCTGGAATACGGTCCTCCCTTTATTACATAAAGTTTCATTACGGTATCTAAATTTTTACTCAAGTTACGGACGGACACCCTTCACTTGGATTTAAGTCGTCCCGTCATACCGATCATTTGTCTATATATAAATATACCTATATTTCTATGTATATCTCTATTTGTTTTAGGTTATAAAAACAGAAAAAGTTAAAATGTGACAAATGATCAATTTTCAAGGCACTATAAGATCGTCATAGGCTCAGGGTTTTATGATAAAAACTGTGAGATTAATATGAGTTTAACAAAAATTGGCTTGGCAGTCATCAGGCAGGGGTTTTATGTTCTGTTCCCTTAAAAAACTATGAAATTTATTGCATACTCCGGCTTCCTTTATGAAGTTATGTATTTTAACTGGCTCGGAATTCTTGAGTTTTTCAATTTGGAACTAATTTGAAAAAAGGCACAAATAAGCAGCTTGGATTAAACTTGAACTATACTTGGTAATCAATGGAACTTATGCGTTTTTTTATGAAAGAAATCCGATGAACACTAACACGTGGGCTTGCCATTGAATCTTGTACGCAAATGTTATGGAAAAATCCAAATTACATAATTACGAATAGAATATGTATTTTAACTGGCTCGGAATTCTTTAAATCCTGACGACAGCAGCTTATATATATAATGGATCAAACGCAATGCTTGGAATTTACTTTTCATTTCAGATACCTATATAGTTGTTTTTTTTTTTTTTTTTTTTTTTTGCACCCTCATTGATCAATACACTTACATCCTCTAAAAACTGTCACACAATAATCCAACAAATCCAAGCAATCGCTCGTAGCATTCAATTGTGAGATTCGCAAGCAATTGATGCCTTCACAACTGTAACACGTTCGTGGCACTGCTGGATTAACCGAGTGTTCATCGGCCGTTGCATGCGTCAAGGCAAGCAAAACGAACAAAAGGACACCGTATATAGTATTTTTATTTGCGAACGCGAACATCTTGTATAACATTAATATTATAAGGTAAGGTGCATTGAAGAAAAGCGCGACAACTTTAACACTCTAAAATCCACCAAAGACTACTGATTAATAAGTCTAGAACAGAAATATATAAACGCAAAATATTGACAATTTGAGTGGTGAAATGATGAAGAAGAAACAAAAATTATCACGATCAAAATATTCTCAAGATTGCGTCAAGTGGGCATCTCGCATACTCGATGGCGGGTGCAGGTGTGGCATATCTCCCAGGTATCATGTATGTGTATGTTTACCTAAAATATGTCGTGTTTTTTTTCAGTATGTCATGAGCACGATAAATTTGATTGTTTGTGAAATTAATTATCTCAATTTCTTATTTATTTATTTGTTATGAAGTGTAATGCTGAAAGTGGTTTAACCGCGTCTATTTCTAAATAAATTATATATTATGCATATATAAAGTGATCCCACTTTTCAACTACGAAAGGAGGTTTAAAATAAACATAGAAAAAGATGGTTGGCGTAAAGTTATGCTAATTGCGATGCTATACGGATGGCTCGGAAATGGAGGAGGAAGTTGGTGCAGGGATATACTGTTCAGAGTTAGGCATAAGGCAGACTTTATTATTAAGTCGCCGGACCATTGCAGTATATTTCTGGCTGAGGTATTTGCTATTGCGTAAGCCACGGAGCTGGCCTCTAATGCAATTGCAGGCAATTCGAGAGTCAACATCTTCGTAGACAGCTAAGCAGTAATCAAGGCAGTAACCTCGTATCGCACATCGGACAGAAGTTTCTTGGGAAGCAAGACAGCAGTGGAAGTGTTGCAGAAATAAGCAACTTCACTTCTACTGCGCTCATTCATGCTCAAAACGGCAAATCGGAAGTACTCAAAAGTAGAAGAGACTGTAGAAACATGATCGGAATACTAGCTGATCACTGACTGGCGGCGGCACACTATTACAGAATGAAACTGGCAGATCAAATAGACTGAAAGAAATATCTAGAGCAAGGCAACAGAAAAACAATAGAGCAATTTTTATGCACTTGTCCCGCATTAAAAAGAATATACTGTAAGTATCTCCACGGTATGATACACCAGAGGAGGTATCGATAGTGAAGCCACAGAGTTCGTCAAAATTCGCGTCAAATGCAGACTACTACTCCTCCTGAACTCCATCTGGTATCGCAAAGGACAAAAACCAGTATACTATTAGCCCTATTAGACTAACCTAACCTACACATATATACATACTTGTACATAATAAAGATAGGACAAATTTACATATTTGGTATCTGAGTCGGCTAGCCATGTCCGCTTGACTGTCTATTTGTCCGTCTAAACGTCAATCTGAAATTTTTCTCTTTCAAGAAGCCGCTCATTTTCCGGAACCGGCGATATCGGCTCACTAAAAAAGCAGCATAAACAAGGCTTCCAAACTGATCGATCAAACTCTAATCCATGTATGGAGAAGTTTTTTATTTCACGAAATATCTTCAAAATTTCAGATCATAGTGGCAGATAGATTAATGTGTTCTAAAGAACTGACAACAACTGGAATTGGAAAATGTGTGATCTCTCGTCACACCATGTAACCCAAATGGGCCTAAATACCCGAAAACCGGTGTTTGGTGGCATTATTACAAGGCATCTGTCCATTTCAGAATTGTAAATCATGTATGAGCTTACTTAGTAATATGCATCCGTTGTAATATAACAATTTCCCCACATATTCTGCGAAAAAGTTTTGTCAACGCTTTTGTTAACTACGAAACTTCCATTTGTTTAACCAGCTGTACTATACATATGTCTCAAGAAAAGGCATATATCGACTGATCGACTAAACTTATGGTGTTAACGTCATATCTGATAACAATTTTAACTGAGGAGCATGTGCGAAAACAACAATTATTTTTATAACGCTAAGGTGTAAATTATAAAAATTACATTGATAGTGTAGATATACGTCACAAAGATTCCATATATACATACATACATACTTATACATGCTGCGATTCTATGACGCATTTCATATTGGGCTTAGGGAACGGTAGAAGTTATAAAATTTGTGTAAAACATTTCAGTCAAAAGTCCTCAATATTTCTATTTTTAATATAATTCATATTTGTTATACCAGGCGCCAGAGGGAGGAGGAAAAATTTGAATCTTTTCATCAGTATATATATGTTATATAGTATGTTGTATACTGTGCACTGCACTCTAATCGCTTAATTGACAAGATCAAATTTACTCTCTTCAAGATCTCACTTCATTTTCACAACTATTTAAGAAAAATGCATATCTGACAGCATATAAGTGTGTTGCACCCAATAGGGGCTCATTCAGGGGTACAATATATGCCAACCGTTGGTTCGATTAGAGTTGCTGATAAAACAAACTTTATCAAGTTTTCAAATTCAGACATTTAAGTGCTTATATACATATATATATATTATCACGCATTTATTATATGAAAATACTTGATTTGAACTAAATAATACATATAAAACAACAGATCGTATTTAAATGATAAATAATTTCATTAATATCACCGAGATGTGGTTGCTATATGACAATTTATAATATGAGATAACTAATAACTTTGTGTTGTTTGTATTTGAAAGCGATATCATTTGAAATGAATCTGAACGTAAACTAAAATATTCTTTGAGCAATAAATTGGACAATTTGTTAACTCTCCCTTTTCGAATTTCAGATACTTTTATTTCATTTAATGCATATAATTTCGAATGTTTTCGAGAACCAATAAGTCAAGTGCCCCTCCCTTTCTCGGGTCATAGCACAATTGTTTGTCTCGCTTTCGTGAATGGTGGAAATATTGCTGACGCTGTACCTATACAGTTAAACATCCATAACTCGATATTCTCCATAACTCGAACTCTTGAATTGGCAATAGAAGTCAAATTTTATACAAATTTCCACTCCTCGAAACATGTTTCAGAAGTACTTTTTGGAATGGTCTTCAGCTCTTTCAGCAAATTTTTTTTTATCTCTTCGTTTCGATTCGGTTCCACACAATCACAACAAGACAAATCTGGTGAATATGGTAGTTGATGGAATTCCTTAAGTTTTTGGCTTTAAAATCGGTCACAATTGTCGAGCTCTCTTGCCATCCCTCTAACACTTGCCTGACGGTTTTCAAGCATCAAATCCTACATTCTTTTATAATATTCATCAGTTGAAGAGGTCGAAGGTCGTCCAGAACAATGCATGTCATTCCGCACATGAAATTTAGTTAAAAATACAAAATTCCTTGTTCGATATTGTTACCCATTGTAAAAATTGCAACGTACTACTGAGATGTACTGACTTAAACAGCTGTTATAACAAAACTGGTTGACAGATCGTTCTCACATTTGCCATTTAGGGCAGTCCTTCCAACTTCGAAAAATAGACTTTTTTCTGAAATAACATTTATTCGGGGAATTTAATTACCATTTCCTGGTGCATTTTGGTCACAATGTATATGCATTCTCCTTACAAGTATCGAAAGTTATGCTTGATTTCTAGCCTTCTGCAACTAAACTATTTTGAGTTTTAAAACTAGAATAATAACATGATACAAAAGAAATTGGTTCGCTGCGAAGGGCTCATTCCAAGGAAAGCTGGCTAGTTTTCAGCAGAGAGAAAGCAGAGGATCTCAATATCTCGTATGGATCGATTTAACAATTCTGGTTGGTGTTTCGGGTAAAACTCATGAATTGTTCTTCCACAATTCTGCTTGTTTTCGACGAATGTTTTCACATGAACGACTCAATACGGCCAAAGAGAACTCTTTATTGACCGTCTGTTTCTCCGGAACAAATTCATGATGAAACAAATCACGAATGTCGAAAAAAATAATGAGCATCACGTTGTTTTTAGAGCAGCTTTGGGTGGCTCTTTTGGTTTCGGCTCATTATTTTCACTCCATTTCGATGATTGTTGACTTGCAGTGCACTGAATGCACTGTAGGTCATTTCAGCCAAAGTTTATAACAAGTGTATGGCAAAATTAATTGCATCGGCTCAGGAGTATCTTTTGAAGGCGATAATAAAAATTTGTATTTACTAGTTGTAAATAGGTAATAGTCAGTCGATCAATAGTCAGTCCGGGTTAAATTTGATCAAAGCTTGTATTAGGTTTATTCATATGGGAATTCATATCTTAAAGTTCAAATTTCGAAATTCTTAGCTTTTCATGGCGTTTTAAGAAACTACAGCTGAAGAAGTATTTGGTGCCTTACAATACTATGAATGCTTTGCTTTGTTTTATCTTTTTTTTTATTTTTTACTTTATCGCTTTGTTTTTTGTTTTTCGTTTTTTCTATTAGTTTTCCTTAATCTTCTAATTAAGTAACCATCAACCTGGTGTTGCGGCAATTTTTCGCCTTCAGGTGACGCTGTTTTAGTTCTCATTCATTAAAATTTACTGTTTACTGCCACTTTATGCTATGCGTACATACCAACATACATACATAAAAGATGCTATTATTTAATAAGCGTTACACACAACGAATAGAGTCGTAGATGAACTTAATATGGTTGTATATCGGCATACAAACATATTTACAATATATACATACAATATATATACATATATTAACATATACTTAAACTATATGTATTGCTCCCAGATAATTTTTGCTTACCCAATAATTAAAAACTGTAGACTCCGCGTGTGTGCGGGTGATCGTATAGGCTTCAGCAGCTACTTTTCGCAAAAACTCACACACATATAATTATTATATATATATATATATAATAATGCAATTATACGGCGAAGTGTGTTAAAATTCTCATATATTGTTTGAAAGAATAATAACTGCATTTCAAGAACAATTCAGTGGCGGCAGACGTGTTTACGTTGACTGACTTTTTATAACAACACACGTACACGAACACACATACCATACAAACATCTTCCGATTCAGACTGTAGTCATAAAAGTGTCGAACCGTTTGGAAGTAACTGAGTATATACATACATATGTACATATATATATATATGCCTATACACACCTGTATGCTAGTAAGTCCCATAAATAGCTGCTCGACTGAGCGCTACTTAGAACTTCACTGGAGC